CCTTCGAGGGGTGGGAAGTATTAACTCCCCTGATGTTTTGTTTCCCAAGGGGACACCCCCTAGTACTCTTTTGGGCTGGGTCGACGGGAGCCAATGTCAACTTGAAAAAAAAAGGCCTAATAGGGAACACTCTAGACCTTAGGGGGGCCCCCCCCGGTTTTAAGTGTTGTTCCCCAAATATGCTAGCACAGCCCCGTGAAGTTTTTGTTATTGTAGATTTTCTACTCTGTTTCTTCAAGCTTTAATTTCCCCACACAGCTTAGGGCATGGCTATTCAATTAAGTTTGCTCACGATCCAAAACCTGGGAACTGGGGATGGCCGCTGGTCACAGGCCTAAGCCCCCCAACACAAAATGACCATTAATACAATAAAATTGGTAGATGATCCACAGGCCATTTCTAGGTCCTCTGCGGACCAGATATGGCCTGGAAACATCCTGATGAATAACCCTGGCTTAGGGTCTTCTCAAACCTACTCAAAGGAAGCCATGTGTTGACTTGTTCATGTCTGCCTGGATGATTTTGCCCCAAATATTTTACACTGTCATATTATCTGATCTGCGCATAGCTGTACTCTATAAATGAATATCTAGCACTATATACCCAATATGTTTGAGAAAGTGAAAAAATATCTTTTACTTATTTAGTCTCCTGTTATGACATTTTTGTTCACGGGTAAGACAAAGTATTCACTTTCCATGGCAAAATGCTGTTTAGAGGCCAGCTCCTGACAAAGTTCAAATCTTGCAGAATGTAATTATTTTTTTTCATTTTGATGCACGGTCTTCTACTTTTGCCCATTATCATATACGAAGAAGAATAGTTTTACAGAATGAGGGAGTCAAACCAAACCCTACCCTTAGATATTGTCAGGAATTTTTTGGGTCAATTTAAAACCCCAAAATTTTCTCTTTAGTGACTGTACACTGATCTGTGGCTCACACATGTATGCTAAAACAGGACAGATCTCAACAACCAAACAAAAAGAAAGAAAGCCTACAATAAAGAAAGTAGAAATTGTAGCCTCAAATAAAGATAAGTGTCCTTTTCAACAACAAAAAAGATAAATGAGAACTTACTGATTTTCGACTGAATGAAGTGTGGTTTTCTGGTCCACTGGTTCCCCACGATATATAAACATGTGCCGACTCCAACAAGAAACAGGGCAAGAAGGCTCTCTTTGGTTTTCTGATAAAATGTCAGGGCTACAAGAGCCAGGCTCATCAGGCACAGCAGAGCAGGCAACACAATGGGAACCTAAAGGGGAAAACAATTAATCAGTTAGGTACCATCTTCACAACGAAGGTCAGCTGCAATGCATCTGTAGCATGTTCTATCTCTCACTTCAGCTGTCCACTGACAGACTGCAGTTTATCCATCTCCTGATATTATCATCCCACTTGAATCATTACCTGGCTCTTGTCCATCTGCACTGAGCTATTCCCTAATGTATGGATTGCATAAGAGTGTTGTTTTTAATGTGGCCAAATTCTTCATTTGTCTTCATTTCTTTAAGGGTTGTTTTGCTCAGTCCTTTGGCACATGAGAGCAGGTGTTTCTGAAATCCCTGGGGGTAGTTGATGCAGCTCCAGAGGTTTGTGCGATGCTCTTGCCAGGAAACAAGCCAATCTGCTGACAGGAACCAAGCCATAGGGAACCAAAAAATCTGGCGCGATGAAACAGATTTTCTCACCTTTACAAATGTTTATTTCTTCCAAAGCTACTTTATTTCTCTACCTCTCTAAAATCTCTAATGCATTTAATTGTGAAAATGATTTCCCCAATCACCTGAAAAGAATAGACCAAGTTATCATTTTCCCTCTACAGACTGAATACTGTAGGCTCAACACTCATATCAACCAGGTATCAGCTCCCTGCCAATGACTTGGTGTTGAACAGATCCCATAACATGTACCGCAAAACTGCTTTCCTGGAAGCGCTGCAAAACAACATGTGGTCAGGACCTCCATAGACCCGACTAAGCTTGGGAGAAAACCAGAGAGACCTCAAGCCGACATCCCCACTTTATTGCCCTAGTGGGTTAAGCCCATGGCCAGAGATTGCTAAAGAAGTTTGAATGAAATACAACCTATTCTTCTGTACATCCTCATCTCCAAGGTCACAACCGGACTATCTCTGCTAACTTCTGGGCCAGATGTTTGCATCCATATAATGCTGAGTATACATAAAATTGAATAAACATCTCCTGTGTGGGTCCTGGGGCCCTATTATAGGGAAAACAAGAATAGACCCACTGTCTACACCATGTCATAAGAGTTGACTAATTGGGAGCTTCCCTCAAAGTTAGAGTGCACCTGCCTGAGAGGCAAGGAACCAGCAGTCAGATCTGTAAAACGGATGCACAAGAAACACTCAGGTTCTGGAACAGGACTGCAGTCCAGAAGTAGATAAACAACCAGAGTTTACAGCTGGTGAACGCAAAGAAGAAGAAGAATAAATATCAGTTCTAATATCGTATTTGTCTCCCTGTTTGCAAGCAGAAATCAAAATTCAGGTTGACCGCGCAAAAAATGGGAACAAAATGTGAATTGATGGAAACTTTTATATAGACAACAGACATTTATGAAGTCTGAAGTAAGGATCAACATCATGGCACATGGGTAGTAACCCATAAGTGCTCCGTTTTCTTCTAACTCAAGTCAAGTCGAAGAAGCTTAGCACATTGCCGGCAAGGATTCTAAAATGCTTTGGGTAGATTTTTAACTCCAAATTTTGCCTGGGCAGCGCCGTTAGGCTACTCTTTTCGATTTCCAACTGCCAAGGGATTTTTTTTACATGCGCAACAATGCACACAGGCGTATGATCTCACTACCCAGAGACCAGACTAGATCCAAGAGTACGTGAAAAAAACTCCCAGTCCTTACCGGGGATTGAACCCGGAACCTCTAGCACTCGAGGCCGACACCATGCCTCGAGACCATGCAGCACCCTAGAAGACATTCTGCCGTTGTTTACACTTCACCTCAACATCATACGGTCCTTGTGTTGATTCCAGGTTTTAGAGATAAAAGAACAGAATCACTGCTCTCTGAAAGGCATCATACAACCTGACTAGTAGGGTTCTGGTGAATGTATTGAACCAAAAGTATAGTGTAGACTAGCTGTAAAGCTTAACACAACATGCCAACTGTCTCAAGGAAAAAAGCAAAAAAGAAGAAGAAGAAGAAAATAAAAAGACATAGAAATATTTTTTTTTGGGCGTTCACCAGCTGTAAATCCAGTGGAAAGTTCTGGTTGTTCATCCAATTCTGGACTTATCCAGAACTTGAGTTTTTGCGTGCACATCTGTGTTACAGATCTAGCTTGTTTGTATGTAGACTGTGGGTTCCTTGCCTCTAAGGCAGATGCACTCTGACTTTAAAGAAAAAATTCCTAGTTAGCTGGGCCCTAAAACCCACAAGGTGATATAGAGAAATAATTCTAGGGACTCAAGTTGCTGACACAACCATGTTTCGCCAATGTTTCCTACTTTCTTCTTCTTCTTCCTTTTCTCTCTCCCTCATCCAGCTAACGTAAAGTTCTCTGAAAACTTGTTCACGACTGACTGAACTTTGCAGCTACACTTTGCTACAGGATAACGTAGTCTACAAAAAAACCCTACCCAGTCACCTCTTATGACATCCATGGTAAAAAAAAGTAAAGATCCCTTTTCGCGCCTTTCGGCGCATCGGGCATATGGGCAGAGCGTCCCATATTTTACAGACCATCAGCACTCTGTGGGTAATGTGGTCAGCATTACGCCGGCTGTCTTTACTTTCCCAGGACAGCCCATCCTGGTACCCATTTTAGGCTGGGTCAACCTACGACAAAAATCCATGCAGCCTGCAGTGGGTTTCGATTGCGGCATGCTGGCTTGCGAGTCGGACTCGCAACGCCTTAGCCACGGAGTAGGTTGTGTTATTTTTCTATTTTCCTTGCAGCCCCTGATAACATACAAGCAATTAGCAACAATAAAAAACAATTTACAAAAAAAAAACCCATATATCTAATACAAAACCAGTGACAACTAGCAAACACCTTCACCATAATTATAAGAACTGTCACTACTGTCTGTATTTCCCACTATTTAGGGCAGTGTAATTGGGGGGAGGGGTGAAGGGGGTGAGCCTGAGGGTTTAGGACAGTGTGGTTGGGGGTGGGTGGGGTCAAAAGCCTGAGGATTGAGGGCCACATTTGGCTATTGTTGTCGCCAAGGACTGTGCAGCTTAGCAGGTTTAATTTTATCATAGACCTAAAAACTCCATCACCTTTCCGGAGGTTGAACTTGGGGGCACCCTGCATAAGATCCTGACGTTGCTACAAATCAGTGCTAACTGGTGATCATCATCAACATCAATCTGGTATGCCGTTATTCACCACAAGAGGTTCCCAGTTTACTCCTTCATTCAGTTCTACCATTTAGTTCTTATGATTTACGTAGATGAAAAATATGTCTAGTCTACATTCTTACCTTAATTGGCCTGTACAAATCTGGCTCCTTGAAACGCAGCCAAACCTGTCCTGCAAACACCATGGTGAGAACGGTTGCGAATCCGAACCCTTCCATTTCAATGAGAAACCAAATGTCTCTGGACATTTGAAAACAGAATACAAGCAGCATCTGTTGGGTAGAAGAGTAAAAGGTTAACAATGCTGTCAAAGTTACATCATGTATTGTTTGGTGCACCATACAACACTGTTGTCATGATGTCAAAGTTTACATCATGTATTGTTAGGTGCATCATACAACACTGTTGTCATGATGTCAAACTTTACATCATGTATTGTTAGGTGCATCATACAACACTGTTGTCATGATGTCAAAGTGTACATCATGTATTGTTTGATGCACCACACAACACTGTTGTCATGATGTCAAAGTTAACTTCATGTTTTGTTTAGTACACCATACAACACTGTTGTCATGATGTCAAAGTTTACATCATGTATTGTTTGATGCACCACACAACACTGTTGTCTAGATGACAAAGTTTTTAAATTATTATTATTGTATGGTTCTATTCAAATATGATCATCACCTGTTACTATATTTACAGTCTACTGTTTATAGGAAACAATATTTTAAAATTTGAGTTTGCTGGACCTGAAACAGATTAATTTAGTTTCTATTATTTTCAATTGGAAAAACTGCTCTGGAACTCAAATGATTTGGAACTGAAACTCTGTCTCAGAACAGATTATATTTGAATTATGAGGTACCACTGTATTACCAAGGAAGTTTTCAGTTGACAAGCATGTGTTTATCTTTATCCATGTTGATATGACAGCAATCTGTGTCATCTTCAGTAATGGCAAGTAGACCAACGTGGCTCTGTGGATGACATGTAAACCCCAAAAATGATACCAATCGTTTCGGAAGTTTCCGAACATTGTCTGGGAAACCTATTTCTGATCCAGATGTTCCTTTCTTGGTCTTCCTTTGCTTCCAAGAGTTTACCTTTACAAGTTTGAAGCATAACTTGTCTCCCTCAGTTGCTACCCCAATATACAGATAATAAAATCCATAATCTTTAAATCTTGGCACCCATTCATTCAATCTCCATCTGTTCTGCCAAATTCAGTGTGATTAAAATGACTACTAGAAACTCGTACTGGACCATAAACTTAGAATGATGAACAAGTAACAAACAGGAGTAAGTGAAATAACCCAAGTTTTACCATTCCATAGAAGATTTACCATATGAAGATAAACATATACTTAGCCCAAGAGGTGAACTGAGAAAGACATAGGCTAAAAAAGACAAGAAATTAACAGGATGTTTGCTAGACAGGACAAGTGGGTTATGTTAGGATTTTGCATGCAAATGGAACAAATGATGAGAAGGGTGAAAGAAGCAAAGATGATTCTGTGTTTGGCGCCTGAATGGGTAGCAAGTGTAGAATGAATGTGAGTGTATCAGCAAGTTTAATCTACTCAAGTAGCCTCCGGCAAAGTGAATCTGGCCATTTGACCACAAGAAAATAGTAGTGGAGCCGGCAAAGTAATGATGAATTTGATCGACAAGCTAATTCTACGCAAACTGTCTGTGTGTAGAAAATAGAACATATGTTGACAGAAGAATATCTGCAGTAAGTAGTGATACTAGTAGTGATGTTTAACAATGAGTTAAGAGCATGTTTTCCAATCATAGTGATACCAGTAGTGATGTTTAACAATGAGTTGAGAGCATGTTTTCCAATCACAGTGACATTAGTAGTGATGTTTGACAATGAGTTAAGAGCATGTTTTCCAATCACAGTGACACTAGTAGTGATGTTTGACAATGAGATGAGAGCATGATTTCCAATCACAGTGATACCAGTAGTGATGTTTGACAATGAGTTGAGAGCATGTTTTCCAGTCACGGTGATACCAGTAGTGATGTTTGACAATGAGTTGAGAGCATGTTTCCCAATCACAGTGATACTAGTAGTAATGTTTGACAATGAGTTGAGAGCATGTTTCCCAATCACAGTGATACTAGTAGTGATGTTTGACAATGAGTTGAGAGCATGTTTCCCAATCACAGTGATACTAGTAGTGATGTTTAACAATGAGTTAAGAGCATGTTTTCCAATCACAGTGACACTAGTAGTGATGTTTGACAATGAGTTAAGAGCATGTTTTCCAATCACAGTGACACTAGTAGTGATGTTTGACAATGAGATGAGAGCATGTTTCCCAATCACAGTGATACCAGTAGTGATGTTTGACAATGAGTTGAGAGCATGTTTTCCAATCACAGTGATACCAGTAGTGATGTTTGACAATGAGTTAAGAGCATGTTTCCCAATCACAGTGATACTAGTAGTAATGTTTGACAATGAGTTGAGAGCATGTTTTCCAATCACAGTGATACTAGTAGTAATGTTTGACAATGAGTTGAGAGCATGTTTCCCAATCACAGTGATACTAGTAGTGATGTTTGACAATGAGTTGAGAGCATGTTTTCCAGTCACAGTGATACTAGTAGTGATGTTTGACAATGAGAGCATGTTTTCCAATCACAGTGATACTAGTAGTGGTGTTTGACAAGGAGATGAGAGCATGTTTTCCAATCACAGTGATACCAGTAGTAATGTTTGACAATGAGTTGAGAGCATGTTTCCCAATCACAGTGATACTAGTAGTAATGTTTGACAATGAGTTGAGAGCATGTTTCCCAATCACAGTGATACTAGTAGTAATGTTTGACAATGAGTTGAGAGCATGTTTCCCAATCACAGTGATACTAGTAGTGATGTTTGACAATGAGTTGAGAGCATGTTTTCCAGTCACAGTGATACTAGTAGTGATGTTTGACAATGAGAGCATGTTTTCCAATCACAGTGATACTAGTAGTGGTGTTTGACAATGAGATGAGAGCATGTTTTCCAATCACAGTGATACCAGTAGTAATGTTTGACAATGAGTTGAGAGCATGTTTCCCAATCACAGTGATACTAGTAGTGATGTTTCACAATGAGTTGAGAGCATGTTTTCCAGTCACAGTGATACTAGTAGTGATGTTTGACAATGAGTTGAGAGCATGTTTTCCAATCACAGTGATACTAGTAGTGGTGTTTGACAATGAGATGAGAGCATGTTTTGCAATCACAGTGATACTAGTAGTGATGTTTGACAATGAGTTGAGAGCATGTTTTCCAATCACAGTGATACTAGTAGTAATGTTTGACAATGAGTTGAGAGCATGTTTCCCAATCACAGTGATACTAGTAGTGGTGTTTGACAATGAGTTGAGAGCATGTTTTCCAGTCACAGTGATACTAGTAGTGATGTTTGACAATGAGTTGAGAGCATGTTTTCCAATCACAGTGATACTAGTAGTGGTGTTTGACAATGAGTTGATAGCATGTTTCCCAATCATCACAGACATAAAGCGGCAGTAGACAGCGGATGGTAAATATGTTGGAACAGGGGAAAACCATTCTGGCGTTTATTGTGGACTTTAATGTGTGTTATCAGCTTTACTGTCACTGACTGGGACATCTGAGATCCCAGGAACTTTGTGATGCAACTAAAACACAAGGAGAAAGTTCACTGCAGTGAGGAACTTGTACTGTGTCACGTGCGCATCAACAACTTTGTGATGCAAGCTTACGCTCGTCACAATGGGGGCCAAGCCGGGATTCATCATGTTGTGTTACTCTTGGCAAGTGGCATATTAAGTTGTTGATGCCACTTGTTACATTGTGACGAGCGTAAGCTTGGCCTACAGTGTGACGTGCTGTAAAGGCTGCGTGGTGATGTGCGGCGTACCAAAGGTGACTAAGGGCGTCGCAATGTAACAAGTGGCATCAACAACTTAATATGCCACTTGCCAAGAGTAACACAACATGATGAATGTTGAAGCTTCAAAACGTAGTGGAACGAGAACTCTCTTTAAAGGTTCCATTTGTGTATTGACAATAGCAATGATCAACACAGGGAGAAATATGCAATCAATAATCCAGACTCACTCAAGCACATCACAAAAAGCCTGCTCGTACATCCATGGACTGATATGTCCTCCGACGGGTCGCAGTCCGACCTTGAGATCCAGACAGTTATCTTTGTCTTCTGTTCTGCAGTCTGAATAAGTTAATGTAAGTATACCGGCTTACTGCCGAACTGTGACAATATACCAGCTTTCTGCTGAGGTCTATATTGGAGTCCCGGGGTAAAACGTCCTCAAGGATTCACCTTTATACAACGTCTGCTTCCGTGGAATCCCGGGGTAAAGCATCCTCAAGGATCCACACGTCCGTCTCTTTCGGACTGTAAACATCAACTGCCTTTGACAACAATACCTTCACAACGTTACGTATTGTTTTGACGTCTTATTTGCTCACTCAGTACTGGTGCGTTCTAGTGCACATCCGCACGCGACATACTGTATCTTGAAAATAAACTTACAATGAACAAGGAACAGGCAGGAGTGGGGAACTTATACTGTATCATGGACATAAACTTACAATAATGAACAAGGAACAGGCAGGAGTGAGGAACTTGTACTGTATCATGGACATAAACATAGGCATGTGGTTGTTCTTGGCCCCAATGAAGAATAACCTGGAACAGAAGAACGATGAGAAGTTAGCCAAGAGTATTTCTACACAAAGTAACCATGGAAATGACATTAATGTCCTATGCTTCATTGGTGCTACAAGTACTGCAAATACTGTTGCTGTTGTACTACTGCTGTTGTTGCATTACTATTAATACTACTGCTAATATTACCTGAACCGCTGCTGGTGTTACCTGTACCCCTGCTGGTGTTACCTGTATCTCTGCTGGTGTAACCTGTATCTCTGCTGGTGTAACCTGTATCTCTGCTGGTGTAACCTGTACTCCTGCTGGTGTAACCTGTACCCCTGCTGGTGTAACCTGTACCCCTGCTGGTGTAACCTGTAGCTCTGCTGATGTTACCTGTACTCCTGCTGGTGTAACCTGTACCCCTGCTGGTGTAACCTGTACCCCTGCTGGTGTTACCTGTAGCTCTGCTGGTGTAACCTGTACCTCTGCTGGTGTTACTTGCACCCCTGCTGGTGTTACCTGTACCCCTTCTGGTTTTCCTGTAGCTCTGCTGGTGTTACCTGAACCTCTGCTGGTTTTACCTGTTTGGCTGGTGGTGTTACCAGCACTGCTGCTTCCACTACTAGACTTTTGCTGCTGTTGCATCTACTGCTACTACCACAATAACTACAGTGATTGCTGCTGCTACTACAACCATTATAATTCTATTAGATCTATTGCTGATGCTGCTACCTCCGCCATGACTTCTACAGCTACCAATACTAATATAAGTTTTGCAAAAAAAATACAGACAGTTGAAATGTTATGTTATCACAGTCGACGTCACTGCACACTGGTTGTTCCCTTGTGTACTCAGTCCTCCCAGGCAACAGCCACTCCAGGGTACCTCTGCTCACTGTTCTCATGAGATGTTAGTTACATCTCTTATCGTGACCATGAAGTCATTGAGTTAGCGTCATTAGAAACCAGTCAAGTCTGCATAGCTTTAATGAGATCTGCTCTGTTCCCGCCTCTTTCCATATGCAGTGGTGCAATACTTGCTAGTTAGTCTACTCATTTATTACCTTTTAGGTTAGTTGATCCAGGTAAGAGAGGTTACGTGCGACTACTAAATGCTGTATACTCATTCAGAGCAGAGCGCTTTCTGTTTGGCACTCGAAAACACCAGTGGACGCTCCAGATCACGGAGCACACAAAGAGGAAACAAACAGAAAGTAAAGAAATTAGTGAGTACAATTTTACCTGGACATTGACAATGCTGTCCCGTTCATGGTCCCACAGACTGATATGGCAATGAGAATGGGCATGATCCACTGCATAATCCCCATTGTTTGTTCTGCAAACGTCTGAAACCATTTCACATGTTTAGAAAATTAGACAAGCTAACATTTGGAAAATAAACACCAACAATTGAACCCATTTTTTTCCCCCCAATATTCCATTCAAATTGCAATGACCCATTATGTCTGCTCGCAGCCTTTAGTCTCATGTACTGATAATCACTTTTGATACAGATGTTTCTAGTGGTATCTAAAATCTAAATGGGTGTTGGGAACATGAATAAATATAGGTGTATATGTGTTGTGTATGCGTGTACATGGAAGTATGTATGTATTTATAATGAGTTTGTATACTGAAATGGGGGAGGGGGAATTACCTGGTTATGAGCGTTTGTATTAAAATGATTTCTGGGGCGTGCATGTTAATATGCTCTGACTAAATATAAAAAGCATGATTACAGGAAGTGTTGATTTGGATATGACAAAGAGCAATAACAAAAAACACAGAGACAACATACCACAGCAACAGCCGTTGATTGCAACATCTGTGCCGGCGTGAGGACAGCAATGTATGCAATGTTGGTGACCAGGTACACACAGATGACCGTAATCATGGAGATCATAATGGCTAACGGCAGGTTTCTGGGGGAAATAGTCATTACAAAATGTCTTCACATTAACCAAAACAAAATTAAGTCCTTGTGTTAAACAGAACATTTAAAACTCATACAAATGATAGCCAGACAACCATTTTGAAAAATGTTCTCCCCGTGTGGCTTAAGGGTCCCATTATGTGGAAAACAAGAACAGACCTGCTGCCACCCCAGCAAGCATGTCGCAAAATTTGACTAACTGGGGAGCTTCCTTTCGAAGTCAGAGTGCATCTGCTTGAGAGGCAAGGAACCAACAGTCTGCATAGAATTATGTCAGATCTGTAAAACAGATGTGCATGCGATACTAAGGTCCAGAGGCAAACAAACAAGCAGAACCTTCTGCTACAGTCTACAGCCGGTGAATGCGAAGAAGCAGAAGAATCAAAAAGCTCATAAAAGACAAGTTTTATTCTCACAGCTCAGACCAATCATTTTCTCAATGCTCCCCAAACTATCATCAAGAAAATTTTAATCAAAGGAACTAAAATGTAATTATGTTATTGAACCCATAATTTTTGTCAAAACACATCATAAAATAAATTTTCTTCAATGCTTATTGAATCCACTTTAATAACTTATGTAACCAGCACTAATTGAGGTGGACTGGATATGTTTATCCGTGGGGAAACAGCGAAGATGTTCCATCCACTTTCCTCAACGGTTCATTCCAAACTGATATGCAGACATTTCTTCCAGCTCATTAGCACAGCCTTTGTCCTATCAGGCTATGTGTCTCAGCAGTGTATGCATGTTTGACCCTATGAGGTGACCCTTGACCAAATCGGGTCACGACACACTGAAATCAGTAATTTATCACACAAACATTCAAAAACTAATGCCTGTGCAGAATCAAAGGATTTAAATGATATGAAAGAATCACTGATGTGAAGCTGTGAAAGAGAACTAAACAAATTCAATCACAAAGTCCAGAAAGGACACTGGCGCTGGATAGGACACACGAGAAATTCTTAGAACCTAAGAATGTCTTTACACTGAAACTTCAGGGGCAAAAAAAAAAAAAAACTGGCAGACAAAAAACACACCTAGAGGGAAACTGGAGAGTGAAATAAGAAAAAAGGAAAGGACAAGGGTGAGCTGCATGCAACAGCAAAGGACAGGATGACTTGTGAGTAGGCTGGGGGCCTATGAATAGTCGCTGAACAGACAGCAATTCAAATTTCCTACACAAAGCCAAACTATTTACAATAAAGACTCACCTATGGGGATTTACAAGCTCTTCAGTCAAGAAGTTTAGGTAACTCCTGAAATCAGAGGACAAAAGAAACATCATTTAATAATTTTTCAAAGGCATGTGTTTTAACAAATGAAAATTATAAAAAAACAACAACTACAACAGGGTTCCTGAAATTTAAATTAACTGAAAGCTCAAAACATTTATAGTAAAAAAGAAGCTCTGTGCAGAGTGGCAAGCATCGCTTCAGAGGTCTCGGGTAGTTTGCATCCTTTGGATATTTTTTCCAGGTGATGCTGATGTGTTGGGAAATGAGCAGGTAGATGAACTGACCGGTTCTGCACTACCTGGTGGTGAACTGATGTATGACAAGCTATATGTTGTCAGGGCCCTTTGGGAGCGAGTGAGCAATGCAGAGGCTCAAATAGATCATTATAGTCTGAGAAGAATGATGCTGCGGGAAGTGACCAGGGGATCTAGTCAATGCCCACACTCAATGGAAAAGTGAGACGGGTGTACAATCAGACAGTTACTGGTACCATCGAAACTGGAACTCTTTGCTTGCTGCTGAAGATTGGGGACTGAGCACTTATGGGAGTGTCTCAAGTGCTGTGAAGTCGATTCCTAATTCAACTTTAGTAAAAAGTAAAGAAGGACCCTTTATGCATCAGTAGTGGCTCGGGTATATGATGCTAGACTCATAATTTTATCAGCACTACCTGGGTGATGTGGGCAACATTACTCTAGTCACCTTTACTTCCCAGGATATTACCAGATGTCCATTATATCTGGGTCTCCCCAAGTGGGTTCCAGCATCCCATTTTGAGGTAGGGTGGAGGGAGGCAGACCAACTAACTTCCTAGAAGCATTTTGTAAAAGGTGACTGATTTATCTGCCATAGTCACAGTTCTCCATTCTATTCTACCCTGTGCAATCCTCTTGATACCTGGATGGATCCAGCAGCCTTGGCCTCTCTCAACAATATTTATCGCAGGGTTTCTTTTGGACGTCCTCTTTTCCTCAATCCATCTGTTTCTGTTTGGATTTTTCTTTTTTTTAAACATTCTTTGTCTATTTCTCCTCATGATGTGCCCACAATCTACTGCTATCTTCTTTGTAGTATAAATAATGATACAATCTGTTGTCAAGACCTTCTCTTATTTCTTAATGTGCCTTGAATTCATTCCAACTAATGTTCATCAGTTTCCTTAATCATTTGTTTCAGATGCATTTAAATTTTGTTCCAAGTTTTAGTGGTTTTCTAACTTTCACTGGCACGTGTTAAGACTGAAACTCCACTGAAATCAGTAATTATATAATTACGATAGCTATATGATTTAGAACTCTACATTTTGTTCAGACTTTTAAAAGCTGCTGTTGCCTTGCCATTGTGAATCATCATTTCTTTCTTTGTGTTCCCTGTGCAATCAAAATTGCTACCTAACTATGTAAAATGATCCATCACTTATTGATGTCTTTAGTATATTGTCTTTCATAAATGATTTGTAATCTCCCCTTGAAGTTATATTTGCTTAGTATTTAGTATAAATGACTCTGCACGCCAATGTGGCTCTTACTAAACAGAACAATATCACAAGACTAATGTAAAAGCCAGTGAGGCTAAAGCAAACAACATGACAATCAAGTGACTTACCACCCGCTGTATGCCCAGAACCCAGAATAAAAGGACAGAGCAATGGCCCCGGCACTGTAATCACTGTCCACAAAGGTCTCCTGCAAGTTCTCAGTCTCTCCTGGCAGATGCAATAAAATGTAATGCAGATCATCGTCAGAAAATAATTATAAGGTACTGGCTAGCAATGTCAGAAGAGTCTGTAGGTACTGATTATATATATGAAATATTTACCGAGCTCCCAGGTACTGTTGATCAAAGAGTGCAACTGGCACTATTAGCTGTAGAAGATAGGGTGAGCATCAGTACCAGTGAACCTGTTCCGAGGTTTGTAAGAATAAACCAACTCATAACTGCACAAGGAAGAGGTCCTGATTTACCCGCCAGTATCACCAGAGGGTAAGAGAAAACAGGGGCGCCCAAAAACAACATGGAGGCGAATGATGGAAAGTGACCTGAGTGCGGCATCTTTGACATGGAAAACTGCACTGAAGATTGCACAGGACAGGAAAGCATGGAAAGTCCTCTTTGAAGCCTTATGTGCCACTAGGCATAACGAGAACTGATGAAGATAACTGTACAACGAAGAGGTCATCCCTCGCCTGTGGGAGGAGATAACAAGTAAAATGGAAGATTACAAAAACCCATATCTGGAGAGAATTTGGGGGTTATCAAGGTGCAGTTAACCAGATGACAACAGGCACCATCATTATAGAGACCCTTCGCTGGCTGTTCAGTAGGGGGGAGACGTAGCTAATAAGGGCGTGTCCTGAATTCTGTGATGTTGAATCTTTACCCTCATAAACCACTCATAACTTTTACTTTAGCCACATTACTTCAGCTCTCTAGATACAGAAATTAAAGTCTTGAATTGCTGCTGTTTCTGCCTTGCTGCTCTAAACTAAACTGGAAATGCTGAGGTCCTATGTCAAACTGCTTGAAGCTGATTTGAACCAAGTATGTCAGAATCATAAAATTTGCACTCTTAATCAGAAACTCTCTGATAGATTCATGCTAAAAATGAAAGCGTACTCATTCCAAATATGACAGTGATAAGTGCTGTCATCACCTGCTGACATGTAAGTGTCAGCACTCTAGTTGTGTGAAGTCACCACCCATGTTCATTAATCAGTCCTAATTGTAACCCTGAGTCACAGAGTGGTAGGAACCTCCTACACCAGTTCTTCATATAGTGGGCACTACTGCCCCTGGGCTGAATGGGCTGTTGCTTTGTTGGTCAAATATGTTTGAAAGAACAGGTCAGGAAGAGGTAACAGTCTCATGTGCAGTTAAGGGCAATGACTGCACATACGCAGCAGTGGACACAAAGATAAAGTAGAGGACAGGAGAATGACATGTTATTGCACTTTCCTCTTGTAAGGAAGGTAAAGGGTCTGAAACATTCAAAGAAAGGGGACCTCTTCTGTCGATCGGAAGGCTCCTGTTATGCTCGTCCACTCCTCTGTGGAGTTTCTATAACATGTACGGCCGCGGTAGAGGACAGGAGAATATAATGTTGTTTCACTATGCCGGGCAAAGCCTGGAAGTTAAATAAAGTTAATCAAATAAATCGTAAGCTAAAAGAAGACTCACAAAAGTTGTCACAGTTAAGCCGACACAGCATTAAAAAAACACACACACAAGTTGTCACAACAGAGCTAATAGAACATAAATACAAGACTCACACAAGTTGTCACAGTTGAGCTGACACAGCGTAAACAAAACATCAAAAATATTTGTCACAGCAGAGCTGACACAAAAGATCCATACAAGTTGTCACAGCTGAGTAGACACAGCATAAATAAAAGACAGACAATAATCTGTCACAGCTCCCTGTATGGGTTCCCGGCTCAACTAAGAGGGAAAAGACCCACTGCCCACTAACAAGAATATTGTACAATCTACCAGTTAGGGGTGTTTCTTTCCCCAGTTAGGGGTGTTTCTTCAAAGTTGGAGTGTCTCTGTCTGAGAGGTGAAGAACCAACAGTCTGCACAAAAATAAAACAGATGTGTAGCAGGTCCTGGAACAATGTCAAACTCCAGAAGTCGACGAACAACCAGGACTTCACTGGAGTTTACATCCAATGAACGCTATGCAGTAGGGTGGGGCGAAAAAGGAGGGGGGTGCAACACTGGAAATCCACTGAAAGCTGCTGTAGTGCGGGGGCTAGTATTCTTGCCTGCTTATAGGTGAACACAAAAACAACAAATCAGACAAGAAAGAAATATGTGACATCAGAAAAAAATGTAAACATTATTCTTCAAAACCAGGCATTTAAATGCTTTCAATAACTGGCAATTCATCATGCCTCTCGTGGCTCCGCTGGGCAGCATACTTTAACTTGCTATGTTGCATTTTCTGCTAAGATATAGCAATTGCTACTGCGACTGCTCTTGTCCTAACACTACCACACATCATGGTAAATGGGGCACAGGCATGAGCGGGTAAAATTATCATAAGTAAGCTGAGAAACAGAAGAGGAAGAATTGACCGGATAGAAAAGCTAACAATCAGAAAGGGCAGACGATGAGGTGACAAAGTAGGGGAGAGGAAGGAATGAGAAGAACAGAAGATGAGAAATAAAGCAAATGATGACGATGAGGAAAAGTGAAGGGAGAAGAATGAAGACACAAGATAAGGAAGACACAGCAGATGTTAAGGAACAAAATGGAGTAGATGGAAGAATGAGGAACAAAGCTGCAGAAGAAAGAGTAGGAGGAAAATGAAGAAACTGATATTCCTTCTTTTTCTGCCTTTCAACCCACTCATGCAAAGTCCTCCTGTCCTGTGATATTGCAAGCAGCTCAAACCACGTAGTCCTTAGCTTTTTAACTTTCATTCTCAAGCTCCCTTTCCCAGGTATTTTTGGTGTGCCTTTTTTTTCTCTATTTTACGCCCCTGTTGGTTCCAGTGCAATGACATTCTAGTTATATTGTTCTCAGGTTTCCTGAGCGTGTATTCTATCCTACGCCAACATCTTTTCTTCACCTCTTGATTAAATGAAATTTGGGAGTTCTGGATGTCAGCCAAGGGACAGAACTCCGACTAACCGGCCGTCAACTGTTGTCTACCGGCCGTAGTTGAAAGGAGAGCCACAATTTGTTTAGTTCTCACCTAAACCTCAACATTACTGATTCTGTCATACAGCTTGATCCCTTCTATTTTGCGCAGGCACCTGATGAATGTTTGTGTGATAAATTACTGATTACAATTTATCGTGACCCCATTAGGACAAGGGTCACGCCATAGGGCTAAGCATGCACACAGCACATGCCCCATCCAACGCCAGCGTCTTTTCTTCATCACCTGATTGACAGGGATTTAGTCATCTCCCAAAGCTTAATATCAGTATTTCTTTCGCACAACTAATTCCTTCTATTCTGCATAGGTGACAGTTAATAACTGCTTGTGCGATAGATTACTCAGATCCCTGGTTACAGTGTTTCGTGACCCCAGGGGGGCAAGGGTCACGATGTAGGGTTGAGCATGCAAACAGAGCATGTTGCGCTAGCTCTTTTTATTTTCTCACCTCTTGATAAACAGGGATTAGGTTCTCTCCTATATCTCAACATTAGTGGTTCTATCACACCATTTACGGTAATTCCCTCTATTGTGTGCAGCACCAGGTAATAATGGTTGTTGTTTATTTGTATATTGCGACTTATTTAGTGAGAAATTGATTTACAAAATTACAGAAGTCCCCAGGAAAACGAAGAGGTGCAAAAAGAAGGATAGTTAAGTAGTAGAAAAGGAGAGAAAAAATAGAAGATGGTGAGGAAGACCAACAGAACCGATATTACACACATAAAATTACGTGTCTTGACGGCAAGAGATAACGTGATCGCTTACCTTTAGCCAGGTACACCATGCCGATGACAACCACCAGAGTTAAGGCAACCAGCTTGGAAACAGTGATGACAACCTGCACTCGGGTTGCCCACTTGACGTTTCTTGTGTTGATAGCTATCAGCAGCCCTGTGTGTGGTTGTCATAGAGAATAAGTACATTAGTCATCAAGGGCAATACACATACATACGTGTGTGTGTGAGTATGTGTGTGTGAGTATTAATGTCTGTATGCACAGACAGCGCCTGCAAGCGAGTTTAAAGTACACATTTTCAGATGATGTATCTTTCCCGAGCCAACTTATCGCTGTGAGTCATGCGCTCTTGCTTAATCGTTAAAGAAAACAATCACAGCTTTCATCTTTTTCTTCGCGTTCACCAGCTGTAAACTCCGGCGGAAAGTTCTGGTTGCTCGTCCACTTCTGGACTGCAGTCCTGTTCCAGAACCTGAGTGTTGCGTGTGCGTTTGTTTTACAGATCTAACTCAGTATGCAGACTGCTGGTTCCTTACCTCTCAGGCAGATGCACTCCGACTTAAAAGGAAGCTCCCAATCAGTCGACTCTTACGGCAAGCTTTTGGGTAGGCAGTGGGTCTGTTCTTGTTCTCCCAATAATAGGGCCCCGGAACCCACAAGGTAATCACAGCTTTGGACTGACATGCTAAAGAAAAATTACCAGAATGCCGTGGACCAAGAAGAAGAAAAACACCTACACCATACCTATATGATTGAAACATAAAGTAGAACTGGCTCATAAACAGCATCCTCTCCCGAAACCTGAGGTATTGTGGTCAGGTTAAACCTGGACAGGAGAGCGGTGACAGAAGGTATAGTTTGCGGACAAAGAGGCAGGGGTTGATCTCTGCGTAGTGATTACAAGATATTGAAGATGCTCTGGCTATGAAAGCACACAGGGCAGGAGATTCGGCTAGAGAAAGAGAGACTTTCAGGCCCTTCGTAACAACAGCCACGTTCTGTAAAGCACCTGTTGATTGATGCTGATGATGATGCGTACAGTCAGCGTCTGTGGCTTACGCGCCGCCAACCCTTTTCGCAGTTTTATCTACCAGGTCTGATTTCAGCTGCAACCGATTTGGTAACAGACCGCCTTGCGTTGATTTTGGCAGTGGTGTCTAGAGACATCGTTCAGTGAGCAGTGGCAAACTAGAGAACTAAACATTTCCAAATTAAACCAAACAGCCCCCCACCCCCCCAAAATGCCGTTTTTTTAGCATGTGTAAAGTGTAAAGGATAGCACCTACGTATGTGCGCGTACGTGTGCATTTATAAATGTATGTGCGTATATGCATGTGTGTCTGCAAGACATCACGCGTGTGTGGTCTTGTTTGTCTTCTTCCGCACCGATCAACCTTTGCTATGCATCTTTTCAAATATAGGTCACACACAAGACGCACACAGCATGGTCCCCCAAGACGAGATGCACCTGTGCTAAAACGGAAATTCACTTGTCCTACAACCGATCATTGTGGCGCAAGCCCCACGATACTTGAATATTTGATCACAGAATTGTAACTAGAACTAGTGCAATAGTACTATATATACACTAGGTCGGCGAGTAATTGTTGACTCCTCTTCGTCAACAGCAAAGGCCTTGGAGCAAATCATTCTAATACCTCGACCGACAGTGTAAAAAAAAGTCATGTTTTGACAGAGAGAGAGAGAGAGAGAGAGAGAGAGAGAGAGAGAGAGAGAGAGGGAGAGAGAGAGAGAGATGGAGAGAGAGAGAGAGAGATGGAGAGAGAGAGAGAGAGAGAGAGAGAAACAGACAAGGGGTGGGGGTGAGGGAGTTAACACACACATATATTTATCAGATGAGAGAATAGGGGTGCTGAGGGATATATAATTTGTTAGTTAGTTGGGTTATCCTCATTGCACTCCGGACATGTCCATAGGTGCTCAGATCCTCCCCTCAGTATGAACCTTAACGTCCGATGGCTAATAGTACCAGTTCTATGTTGATTAACAAGTCTTCTGGCGTAGCTGGTGTGCGTCTCGTTTTTTGCTGTGCCGATCTTAATTCCCAAGTCTGCCATTCTGGCGAGTGATGTGGATTCACTGCCACCAAAGTCCTCTATCCTTCCCATTTCTCTGAGGGCATTGATAATATCAGCATGATCCATAGGCTGACCGTCGGTAGTGATAGCGGATCCAGCCAACCTGTCAGCTCTTTCATTTCCATCGACGCCTGCGTGTCCCGGAACAAAAATAAAGGTGACTCCACGAACAGTGGACTTCTGTAATGATTCAAGCCATTGTCTTCGCACTGAACCTGCCTGAATCCTCCGGATCATACTCATTGAATCACTGAGTATACACACGCGGGTGTATTTTTGTGTTTCAAGCCAGACAAGCGCTTGTGTCACTGCCATCACCTCCATCGTCATGCTGCTGGTTGTCATGGAGAAGGCGCCGTTGACTTCTTTGACTGTTCTGCCCGCTGAGCGTGCTGTAAATGCCCATGCGCTTCTTCTTTGGCGTATAACGGATCCGTCTGTATAGATTATTGCATCTGCTTCGTCTGAATTTTCACCGATGAGAGCGTTGACCTCTGCATTAACAGCAACAGGATTCTCTTCTCTGCATCGCCTGTTGAGTGTGACAATACAGGAAAATGTACAAATAAACGCCTGAGGCACAGGTATCCATTCTGCGCCAGGTATGATGTCGGTTAGGTTGCATATTTTCCTAATAACATCTTCTGCCCGACCTAGCCACGATTTCCCCCTCTTCAGTCTGTCGACCTTTTCACTAAAAAGCGCTTGATGCAGTGGGTGTTTCTTATCAGCGCATATTTTGAGATATGCCCGAGCCCTCCACATCCTGATCCTTTGGTTCATTGTTGGGAAGTCTAGTAGATACCTCATTGCTCCACAGGATGTGTCTCTAGTACATACAAAAATAATGCGCATGGCTTCATTTTGCACCTTTTCGAGTCGTTCAATCTGGGTAGCACTGACAGTGAGGATGGCCAGAGCGTATTCAATGGGGGAAAGGACCAGACCGTAGAATAGAAGTATTAGTAGTCTTTGCTCAATATTGGAATCAGCCATAATCCTCATTGCAGATAGACCTTTGCGTGCTTTTGTTATCACATGGTCAACGTGTTCCCTGAATGACAAGCTGCGATCGAACCTCACCCCGAGAAACGTCATAACGTTGGTTCTGATCAATACATTATCAGGCATTTTCACTTCTGGTAAGTCCGACTTGACAATGTGATTGTTCAAAGAGAACCATGACACTGATGCCTTCGAAGGATTGACATAGGCATTGGAACCATCACACCAGGCGGCAATTCGATCGAGTTCTTTGTGCATAGTGCTGGCGATCTCCTGTCTATCACGCCCTCGTCGATAAATCAAAATGTCATCAGCAAATGACAAAGTCCTTCCCGTTCCATTCAACTGCTGCTCAGTGATCATCACCGTATAAACGTTGATTAAGATTGGTGATAGCGGGGATCCCTGTGGCAAGCCTGGACATATCGTTTGCGGTTCTGAGGACCAGCTACCACATCTTAGTACAATCTTTCTCTGGAACAGGACCGCAGCAATCCAGCGGATCAGAACAGGATTAACTTCTAGTTTAAGCAGTAATTTGTTTGTACAGACAGACAGTGAATTAGGCGGAAGAAATATCCTGAGAATTTGATGAGCGAACATACAACGTCGGACGGACAAAGGGATACACAGAAGGACGCAGAGTCGATGACAAGCAAGCAGACATGTGGATAGACAGACATTTGATTTGATTCAAGAACCGACATCACAGCACTCGGGGCATTCACATAAGCGCTCCGTCCCCATCTTAAGCAGCCAGCAAAGAGTTCCGATACTAATGGTGCCAGTAGCATTCAGATTAAACATCCGTCTTGCCTTTCCTCTGAGTCTCGAACTTCTGCCAGAACCTCTCGTCATACACCGCTGCATCAATCTCAACATAGGCAGACCTTAAATATGGCCAATTGTCTGAACGCGGTTTCTGGGACCTCTACACGGCGATCCTCATGGTGGCACTTTGCGTCATCGGGTGTTTATCGCTTGTGTGATATCCTGGTGGGGTAGAATGACAGCCAGTCAGTCTTTTGCCTCTTGACACTGAACCGTCTGTGTAAATGATCAAATCCTCTGAGCGAGCATGATCTTGAATTAATTGCTGAATTTCCGCCTCTGTGGCACCTGCTGGCCAGTCTCTGCATTCCCGGCTCAGCGTGATTATGACTCTACACAAGTCTGACTGCTCAGGTGGCACTTTGATCCACTCCTCTCCTCGCCTAATGTTCTCAAGGATGCAAACCTTTCTGATTGTGTCTTCTGTCTGAGCCATCCATTATCTCCCTCTTATCAGCCGCTGACCCTTAACAGCACCCAGAGCTTCATGTGGTCTGTGTCTGCAGCTACCCTGAGATATGATTTCGCCTGCAGCACCTTGTGCCTACCTGCAACCGTCGGCAAACCAAGGATGTATCGCATACACACCACTGGGGTGTCTCTGGTGCAACCCAGAATGACCCGCACAGCCGCGTTCTGTATGCGCTCTAGTTTGTCCATCTGACTCTTTTAGACGGTAAGCAGTTCCAGGCATAAAGTAAGACAGACATAAAGACACACACATTTATATGTATATGTATGGAAAAAAAAGTAAATCATGCTGGCCTCATATTTTTTATAGACCAGATGGACGGATAGATAGACAGATATGAGGAAGAAGAAAGAACTACCAAAAGAGCGTACAAAAAACGCCCACAGAGCTTGCCGGCATTAACTTGAAACGGCGGGAATATTCGTCAATGCAGATCCGCGCCGGCGTCTGCTACACACGCCATGATGCAACCGTTCTGAAACGTGTTGATCGTAAGCACTCAGCCAACGGTTCTCAAACTATGTGCCGATCGAGATCTACTTTTCAACTATGCACTGACAACCAACCCATACGTGTTTCTGGTTAATCAGCATTGTGTGTCACGTCGATAGCTGTGGACAATCTTAGCTGGTCATCTCACATAATCACCAGAATCACTGATCGGGTTAGTGTTCCCCCCCCCCCTCTCCTCTCTTTCTCCCAAAGCCTGTGGCCACGTCATCTTGTGCATTTTCTTGTTTTTCCCATG